ACCATCTCTGGCATCTTCCTCTTTGACCTCGCAGAGTCCTCAATTCACAATAGATAGGAAGAGGCTATAGTGGGGGCTCCAGGATTGACAGGCATTTCTGTTTTACTGGGTACTGAAGCAAATTTTTTTAAGTTTCTGTTTTGTTCAAAACCATATACCAGCAAGGCATGGTGGCACACACTTGTAATTCCAGTGCCCAAGAGGCTAAAACAGGAGGATCGCCACAACTCTGAGACCAGCCTGGGAGACATGGTGACCTCAAGGCTGGCCTGAACTGCACAGTGAGACCCTATCTCAAAAAAATAAAATAAAACCCCTTTGCTCAGTTTTCACAAGAGTTCTGTGTACATAGAAGGTAGAACAATAAACCCTAAGATTTAGGGGACAGAAATGAGTGTGACATCCCAAATGTTGGAGGACCATATGAGTAATGCAACAGGAGAAGGGAAAGGTGAGATGTGGCGAGGAGGGGCCATGGCCTGAGGCACCCTTGTGTCCTGAAGGGACCTGCGCTGTAATAATAGGTCTTGAGATGCAATGGGAATGGCATGGCTTCCCAGAGACCCAGCTGAAACCCGGGCCCTGGGACCAGTGGACTTGGGGCCCAGTAGTGCTAGGAGCTTTGTGACATTAGCGACCTGCTCTGTGCCGTCTGCTTCTTCATCTCTAAAGCAGTACATTGTATCTGCTTAGAACTTTCTTATGAGAAGTATCATTTCATAAAGTATGTGACACCGATGCTAGCCCAGTGGGGGTGCCCAATAAACACCAGTTCCCCTTGAGATGATGTAAAGATGGCAGTATTTTTAAATCTCACTTGGAGAGTCTCATGGGATTTGGACCCCAGAAAGAGTGTTAGGAATTTGATTGAAAATTCTTCCTGGGCAAAGAACATTGATAGGAGTACAACACTGGGGAAAAAGGAAGAGGCTACGTATTAACTGGAGGTGGTGGGGTTTTGTTTTAGCCTGTTGAGAAATGTAATTTTCAGCACTTTTATAAAGCATATTTCACAGTTTGCAGAGCTGATTTCTGGTCCCTGTCTTGAGCACTTCTAAGTATAAACTCATTTAACTCTGAGAAGCTGAACTTTCCACAGCTCACACCATTTCCATTTCTATACCTGGATCTTAATGTTGGTGCTTTGATGAAATTACTGGTAACTCAGTTTTCATTTTCAAAAATGAATAGGAAAGGGGAGAAGCTCCTTTGAACACAGAGTTGTGATTAATAAGATGGTTGGTAGGCCAGGGAGATAGCTCAGTAGAACAAGCACCTGCCTGGCAAGCGCAAGGTCCTGAGTTCAATTCTTAGTACTGGAAAAAACAAAAACAAAAAGCAAAACAACTATGCTCAATAAATTGTTTGGCAAAATATTCTGGATTCCAGCTAAGGCAAAGGTGATACAAATCACCCATAGCGAGGAAAGTGAGTACAACAGAACAGGGTGCCGAAAGCAGGCAGGACACATTGTGGGGACCTGATGAGCCATTCGTTAAGTCAGCTACGACTCATTACAGCAACGTGCTTTGGTGATACTGGCTTTGATAGTGAAGGCCTAAGAAGGAATTGCAAGAGCCTGCGAAGTGCTAGCAGGGACTGTGTCCAGCAGGTGACCTGGATCCCCTAGAGAACAACAGCAATGACAAAGGGACTTGGAAGTGGCAGGGATGTGAAGACATGGAGCCCTGAAATCAGAATCTTTATTTCTGAAGAAGGCGGTACAGCAGGAGATGTGCACTGTCTGCCCTGCAAAATGCAATGCTGAAGGTGGCCGTCCCATTGCCTGCAGCTGTTCTGTAACTGAATGTACCTGCATTCTGTGTATTTCCTTCTTCACAATTCATTTATTCAGTCATTGAGAAAACATTCATGGGCACCTGTTAAAAAGTTTCTCACACTGTTAGAAGCAGAGAATTCCAAGGAGGATGTGGTGTGGCACCTGCCCAGTAGCACACAGTGTAAGTAAGGAAGAGGCCACCTGCACAGGTAGCACCAGGTGTCTGTGCTGAGCACGCTGGAGTGGCACGCTGGTGGGACAGGGCTGAGGTAGAAGCATGCAGGGGTGGGGAGCTCTAGAAAGGCAAATTCTCACCTCACTATGGGTACTGAAGTCATCAGAGTTGTAAAGGAAAAAGTTCCTAGTGTCCAGAGAGAGAGAGACTTGGGCTACTCAGGGCTGATACATGGTCTTCGGGGAGTGGCAGTGTGGTGAATGGGTCAGAGGAAGCTAAGCCTCCTCTTCTGTGCTGCAGGCCAGATCTGAGCAGTGCTGATGGTGCTGTATGGTTGCCGTGCAAAGCACAGTCAGTCTTCCTACGCATGTTCCCCTGACCCATCCTGTACACGGGGATGCCCACTTGTGAAGCTGAAACCTGGGCAGGCCTAATGCCTATTGATATGGAAATTATTAAATAAACCGTCCCAACCCAGAATACAACTGAGGTAGTAAGGAAAATGCTATTTATGATTTGATAGAAGGAACAATTTATATCTCTTAGAAAGGCGCAGGTACAGATGTGGGCTCCTGAGTAGAGGCTTGTGCACGCCAGGTGTTACACATATCCATCCCCAACACAACCACATGTGTCCCTGCGGGGTAGGCTTCGGGGGAAGAGAGCAGTGAGACAGAAGCTGGGCAAAGGCAGACGGGTGGCCCTCCCTTTTTTTATCGCTTTCTACACAGTTGAAATTCTTACAACACCCAAGAGAAACGATGTACTGCTCCTGAGGCGTCGAGCACGATGTCTGCCGAGTGGCCAGCAGGAAGTGCTGACTGACTCTTGTAGCACAGCAGCAGAACGGCTTGCTCAGCACGGGTTCTATCTGCCTGCAGTGCCATAGCAATTGTAATAAAAAAATCTTTTCTCTTGCTAGGAAAATGGGATGAAACGAATTGTCTTAACTTATAGTCAATTTTCTGTTCAACATGCATTCTACTCAATCATTCAGGACCCTTTTCTACAAAGCTAAGTTTTACAGGCAGCCCGCCAGATCTTGATAATGCCAGCCACTGCGTAAGCACAGAAACTACTAGCCAGCCACTCTGGCTTTCTCTTTAGAGTACTAACCCTTAAATATATTTAACCTTCAGAGCTCTTATGCTATTAATCTGCTGTTGAAAACCAATATAAAATCTCATAGAAAGCCCTACTTTATAATAACCGATATTTATTAAATTGAAATTTAATCTACTTTCACGAAACTTTGTATTATAAAAATTGGAAGCACTCTAAACCATCTTTCCTTAGATTAATTTAGTCATGCTTGTTTTCATGAAAAGTTGTGAATAAATTTAATTGAAAATCAAATTGTTTATTTGAAATGTACTGAGAACATCTATTAAAATTCTTCATGGTGAGTTTCTTTGTAATTGAAAAGAACTATTTATAATTTGAATGAACACCTTCAAATTTATCTGCAAATGAGTAAGTTAAACTTCTCATCTACTGGATTTTTCTAACTCAAGACATATTTTGGTCAAGGCAGTGTGAACTTTTTTTTAATTTTTATTTATTTATTTATTTATTTATTTATTTATTTTTTTGTGCAGAGAGGAAGTATTGGGAACCTATCTCAGGATCTTGGGCTTGCCAGGCAGGCACTTGTGCTGCTGAGCTATATCCCCCCCACATTGCTGAAGGCAACGATAGGAAAACTTTTAGGTTGTGATCAGGAATATTAAAACTTCAAGTACTTTATCAATAAAATTATGAAAAAAAAGGAAAAAAAACCTTGAAGTACTATTTCTTCTTGGAGGCTGATTTTGTAAATAATTTCTTAATATCCACTTGTGATTTCTTTAGTGAGTGATATGAAAAAAAAAATACTGTCCTATGGATAGCATGTTGTAATACCCATATTTTTGTATTTTTAGGGCCATATTTTGAAGTTCAAATGTTTCTTACAAAGATTTCATGTAATAATGTGTTTCAACTTCAACCTCATAAAGGCTGACCTAAATATATTGTGTATCTCAGAACTGATGAATTTCAGTACATGGATAAAGTTAAGGAGTAAATTAAGGGATTGGGCCCAGGGAGATAGCTCAGTAGAATAAGCGCTTGCCTGGCAAGCGCAGGGTCCCGAGTTCAATCCCCTGTACTGCAAAAAGAAAGAAAAGAAAAAGAAAAAAGATAGGTAAGTATGAGCTCCAGGGCTCACCTCCTAGCAGCCCTGGGGGTGGAAAAGAACTAACTTAAACTAAATTAAGAACTTGATTCTCTGGCCTATCAGGATACAGCAATCAGGAAACGCTCCTCAACACCTGTAGTGTTGGAAGGTCCACGGACTTCTTAAAAGTCTTTAAACGCTTAATTTTGAGAGAAGTATAGACTTACATGCAGTTTCAGGAATTAATACAAGAAGATCCCATATGCCTTTTGACTCAGTCTCCCCCAGTGGAAACGTCTTTTTTTTATTTTTATTTTTATTTTTTGGCGGAACTGAGTATTGAACTCAGCCCCCTGTGCTTGCCAGGGAAGCGCTTATTCTACTGAGCCATCTCCCCGGCCCTGGAACTCTTTTTCAAAGCTATGGTGTGCTCTAACCGGGATATGGACTCCAGACACAGCCCTCGCACTTTCTCGGGTGTGTCTGTTTCACGTGTGTGTGTGTGTGTGTGTGTGTGTGTGCGCGCGCGTGCGCACTGCTAGTTCCTTGTGATTGCATCACATTGCGGGCTTCCGTATCCACCGCACAGAGTCGGTAGGGCGCTCGCATTCCCACCGGCCGCGGTGTGGTGCCTGCCTACGACCACCTCTTCTCTCCCTCCCCTCTCCCCTGTTTTACCCCCACCTACCAGGCACAATTCACAAGTCAGGGATTCAGTGACTATATGTTGTCCAGGTAACTTCTGAAAAGCAACGGATGTCTCCTTTCCTCTTGTGAATACGTGTGAATAAGCACAGTAAGCACGCATACTCCCCTGGAGTTGTGCAGCTCACCCTTGCCCGGCCAAGGAACCAAACCGAATCTGCCGTCTTTGTTTCCGTTCCCAGACTACGCTCGATTTGAGGCCAAAATCCATGACCTGCGAGAACAGATGATGAACCACAGCATGAGTTCCGGGTCCGGCTCCCTGCGAACCAATCAGAAACGCTCCCTCTACGTCAGGTAGGTGCTTCTTACTCCGACCTGTGCTGGGTGAGCAGCCCCACCTGCGGGGGATGAAGGGAACGCGTGGTCTGAT